CTGACATATGTGGTATGCTTGTATACAAGCTTGTGACATCACACGTCACCAATAGCAAGCTTTCATCCCATTCTACATTGCCCAAAAGGTTCAACAAAGCAGTGGAGTCTCTTAAATATGAGGGTTGTGCAATAACCAAGGGCTGCAGTTGTTTCTCTATGTATTGACAGGTTACTTAGAATTGCCCCAACTCCTGACACGATGGGTCTGCCAGGTGGGTTTTCCTAATTTTTATGAATTTTTGGGAGTGTGTCGTCACATGTAGGGTTCTGCATGTGACGATGTACAAATATTGGAATTCATTATTATTTAGAATTCCCAGTACTCTACCTTTATCAAGGAGTGATGGATATTTTTTCCTTATTTGCCCTATAGGGTCACTCTTTAAGTCTTTATCTGTAGTTTGGTCATTTAATTGCCTGTAAATTTCTTTGATGTATTGTTCCCTACTTTGAATAACCACTCCACCCCCTTTGTCAGCGGGTTTTATAATTATACCTTTATCTGATCCTTTAATGCCTTCCTTTGATAAAAATTCATATTATCATTTCTATATTTCTTTTTACTTCTATTATTTAAGTTCCTTACTTCCTCCATAATGAGCTGTTCAAATACTTTTATCCCTCCATTTATGTGTCTTGGGAAGAATGTAGATTTATTTTTTAGTTGAGTGTGATTAAATACTTAGGGGCATTCCATAGGTTTGGTGAGGGGCGTTTTGATAAAGAATAATTTAATACACATTTTCCGTATAAACTTATTTATATCAATGAAAGTGTCGAATGGTCTATTACACTCTGATGGCACAATTTTTTTTCTAAAACTTCAATTTGGGGTAATAATTTTATCTGTCAAGTTGAAAATATCTATTGATCCAGTATTCTTCCCCTTTTTATTTTCTCTCCAAGACTCATCCTGCTCTGTTTCCTCTAATATTCCCTGACTTCTCCTTTTTTGGGGAAAACCTGTCATCTCCCTCCTCAAAGGGCCTGCCCTAAAAAAGACAGAGATGAGAGATCTCGAGTCTCCAGGTGAATTCTCGGATAATATACCATATTTGTTATGATGTGTGAAATTCCTATAATTGTGCTCTGTCCTATATTGAGGAACTTGTTTCTTTTGGAATTGTCTTTCTATTTTCATACGGGTTTATTTTTTGTGGTAAATTGATCACGAGATCGTTGTAGTTCTACGGTGTTACGTCTCCTAACTGAATATTTATCAGTTGGTGGATGTGTATATGAATATAGGAATTAGATAAGTGTATATATACCATTAAGAAAATAGACCGGAACATGATGCTAAATAAAAAGACCTCCAGAAAGGAAAAAGAAGACCCCAACCAACTAGTACTGATTATCTTGAATTATAGTGAAGAAGCTAAACAGGTCAAAAACATCATAAATAAACATTTGCGGGTCCTTAAGTCAGACCCGAGCCTAAAAGGAATTATTGGAGATAAGCCGCATATAATCTACAGAGGGACAAAGAACTTAAAAAAAAACCAAAAAAACTAACTTGAAACAACATCTAACCACTAGCTTCATTAAAGAGAAAGCCAAAAGTAAATAATCACTTTGGTTTAGAAAAGGGATTCAACCCCTACAAATCCTGTTTGGCCTGTAAGAAAACCATGTTTATTAAACAGAAACAGAATTCGTGTCACATTCAACAAACCATACTTTTAGAATTTATCAAACACTAACCTGTAATTCTACCTCTGGTTTCCGTGTGATCTGCAGTATATAGGAATGACTACGAGAGCCTTTAAAACTAGAGTTGCAATATTATCATTTATTTCTTTACATCCTATATATTCCGCTTTGGTTCTCTCCAAATTTGGAGTGACCGCTTACGAATTAATCATAACCAACAGTAAATCTACATCCAGAATGCCGCGTTCCAGCGTGCGTTCCTATTGCCGGATACGGAAGTGAGACGCAAGAAACCGGGAGTGATGGGAAGTTAATACAAAATCCAGCACAAGTGACCGGCGGGAATAGATGTATAAAGGAAGATTCATTGGGACTCAAAGACAAGCATTGGAAGAAGGCTATCTGCCGAAACGCGTCTGCTTGCTGTTTATTTGCATAATTTGTTTTAAAGATTATATTTCATTCACTCTGGGCTATTTTTTATAGGGGTAAGTGGAATTCCGATTTTGCTTTGCATAAATGGTGTGCACATTGGGTTCCACCCCCATAATACCCTGCAGTGTTATATGTGTGTGTGTGTGTGTGTGTGTGTGTGTGTGTGTATATATATATATATATATATATATATATATATATATATATATATTTATGTTATATATATATATATATATTTTTTTTTCAATAAATACTTTTGATACATATGCTGGAGTCCCATCTGCATCTTCTGCTTGAACCAGGGTGATCGCTAGCCAGTATTGGCACGTGTGAACCTGATATACTGAGCCTGGTACGGCTCTAGACAATGTGAGTGAGAGTTTGAGATCTATTTACCACTTTATATCTTTGTACAGTTTACATTATGTTGTTTTATGTTTTTTTTGTAAGTTTAGATATCATACCAAACAAGTCCATCATATGGTAATATTACTCTAACACTGGGTAAGTGTACACACTGGTATAGTTCTACTGTAATTTGCTGTTTATGTTTGGTGTAAAAGTGAAGCACTAGTATACCAGTCACACAACCCATGCAGTATTTTCAGCCACACACTGAATTGCCACAATAATTGTGAAGCACCTACACACTATCTTTTCTTTTACTGAATACCTAAGATTACGGCAGAACTCAAACAAATGCACATTCCCTTTCCGGCTACTGCCAGAAAAGCAGACCTGTTTTGATTATTAAAATCACAATGTGATAATGAAAGACCT